TGGTATCATCCTGTGAAAAAATTTCAAACTTGGCTTAGATTTTAAGTGAATCATCATAGAGATATTTGGAAATCTAAAAACAGTCATTCAATTAGCTACATTAGGAAAAATCTAAAGTAAGAAGCCAATGGTCTGAATGACTCACCCTGAAAAATTCCATCCTTGCTTTTCCCATTTTCCGTCCCTTGCATGTACCTGTGGAGTCACCTGTGAGGTTCATCTATTTCAACCTTTCCCAGGGGACCCTCACAACCCAGGCCCAGAGGAGGCACCTGCGTTCCTCTCTGCAGCTCCCCAGGCTGTGGGCAAACACCATCCCCTCACTTGTGGCCAAGCCCTCAGATCTCCTCTCAATACAGCTTCACAACAGGAACTTCTATGCACCCCTCTCCAGCCCCACCTTTTTTATTCCAGGATCTACAGAACTTTCTCTTCTCTTAAACAAATCTATCCTGTTTTCCTGTTTTTATTTTCTGAAGTGTAGCTGGATCAGCACTTGACCGTGAAACTCATTTTTTCTCTTGGGAGATTTTCTGACGTTCCCTTTGTACTGGCTGCTTCAATACTGCCTATAAAATAGACTGCAGTCTTGGAAAAATAAAACCCAAACTTTGCTAGACCGATATTGCCTTCTCTGACGATCATATTTTTTCATTTGACTTCCTTTCTTGTACATTTCTTGGTCTGGATATTCTCTAATTACTACATCTAGTTCCTCCATTGCCATTTTAACTCAATATTCTACTTAACTATCATATAACTGTATAACGTAATTTAACTGTCATATAATGTACTTTATGTGTGGCGTACTGCTTTAAGCAACACCTGGATTTTAATGTATTACACAAATGTATGTAATATATACGTGTGTGACTGAAAAACATCTGGTTTTAAAATATTATGCAAAAAGCTTGATTGTAAAAGCAATATTTTTTCTCATTCCATAAAAGCTTTGGAAAATAGACATATAAAACACAAAATTCCCCAGAATCTTAGAAGTCAGAAAATTTCACTAACATTTTCCTTGATGTTGCATGGTTTTGCGATAGTGTGTGTGTGTGTGTGTGTGTGTGTAAGTTCACTTACTCACATACCATCTCCTTAGATCATCATAATAGCTTGTAATGATGTGCTATTACTGCATGATGTATTACTAAGTAATAATGTGCTCCTCTGATCCTAATATCCACTCTATTTTCCCCAATTGACAAAGAAGCAAGAAAAATACAGGGTCATTCCCTCCATATGTGTGCAATGTAGGGTTCCCACTCCCAGTCTACGCTGGAGTACACAGTCACACACACATGGTCTCACGCATATGATCAGTACATGCCTGAATGATACAAGATGAACTGTGTGATAAGGTATAACCACAATTGTGACGTCTACTGATTTGAGATTTTACATGCAATATATTTTGACTATTTTGCTATTTAAAAATCTTTTCAAACCATTTTAATGGATTTATAATATTCTAAAACATGAATAAACTGTTATTCCCCTACTGCACATTCTTTCTGCTTTCAAATATTATCTGCATTATTACAGTAAACACCTGTGTGTATACATTTCTGTTCTAACTTCTTATCAACTCAAGAGAAACTCCAGGAAAAGGACAACCATACTGAAGAGTGAAGCAGCTAATAAGAGCTGGCACATGTTATCAGTAATCTGTCATGGAAGATTTCTTCATTCCATTTGCTAGTATGGCATTAACCACAGGTCTATCCTACTGTATTTATTAAACAAATATGGAATTCACATCTACTTATTGGAGAAGGTGGAGGACAAAGAACACAGACATGATCGTCTTGTTGTCATGGGGGGGGCAGGACACCAAAAATTAGATGCAACTATTAATAAAATTTCATACTATTTAGAGAACTCAACAGGAATTGTCAGGATACTAGAGAGACAGTAACAGGAAGGCTGAAGCTGCTTTATATTATTTGTCATTGTATAAAGAATATCATGCCTGAAAACTATAGTTTGACCAGCTACAGGATTTTACAACCCTTGTAAGATCTCTATTTGGAAAGGAGAAATTTCCATTCATAGGAATAATCTGATTATCCCAATGCCACTGCTAACTTGGTTTCCTTCCATGAATCAGGAATCACAGTTTCAGTGAAGGCCAAGCCTACATTAATGTTTCCTCTTCCCCTCTGTGCACTTGTAAATCCTTTCAGCACCATGGATAGTTGGTGTACTCGAGATTTTACTCCAAATGGGTCAGGTGAGGCTGCTGACAATAAGAGGAGCTAGAAGTTTACCTGATTTTTGTGACTTACTACACTTAGCGATACTCAGCCTCAGGTCAACTGGACTGCTAATGATATACTTACACAGTTCTAACTTTCTGGTGGGAAGTTATGCAAGTTCAGGAAGTTAAACCCTTATACTGTAATAATTATTTTCAAATCCCCTCTAATCCACGGGAAGAAAAAATTCACTGCAGAACTAGTAAAATGTCCACTACAATGTTTATAAACTGATGATTTATGTTTATGTTCACAATCATGAAGCCAAGAAATTATTCCTGATTCTTACATGAAGCTGGAGAAGGAAATATATTCTTTATCTACTTAAATGTTATTGCAGTGAGGCATCCTGATAGCTTTTTATTATGGGTGAGAATCTGCTCAACAGGTCTGAATTCCTTCAATGACAAACTCCCACCTGCAAGGGGATTACAGTGTCGTGACTGAGCTTATATTTAAGAGATTATTTTTGAGAGAGAGAGAAATGACCGAACGACACAAAGCAAATAATTCAAGTCTTCCAGATCAAAACAAAGGAAGGAAGAGCTTGGGGATGCCCCCTCCCCACACAGGATCGCACTGTTCATCTTCACAAACTCAGCCTTCCCGAGGCTGAAGTAGGGCTCGTATTTTCCTAGCTGTGCTGTCTTTGTCTAGAATAGATGGCCTCACGCAGCCACTGAAAACACTAACATTTGTTTCCAAAGTTACCATTTACATACACTATTAAAAATATCCTACTGACAAAATGATTTTTTTCCATCTTAAGATGAGTAAGGAAAAAAGGTGAAAACTTGGTGACTATTTAGTGACATTAAAAGTGGGTTGATACTTTGCCTTGACCAATTTGTCGCTGTCTACACTGGGGAGGGGTGGGGACAGTTACCCGACTTGTACCCTAAGCCCTTCCCCTCCACTTTCATTCCTGAATCTATGAACAGCTCCGCTGGGTTGGGCCATTGTAACGATCACCATAGGCTGGTCTGGAAGTCTGAGATGGGGGTGCCACATCTCAGTGGCAAGGGGCTCTGCAGGGCCCCGACCTCGCTCAGTATCCACACACAGTGGCAGGCACCCAGGCACGCCGAGGTCTCTAGAATGAGACCAGCATCCCCATTCACAAGGGCCCACCTCATGACCTCACCACCTCAACACGCCCCAGACCTTCTCACATGATGGCATCCGGGCTCAGGATTCCCACATGCGAGTTTGGGGACACAATCACTCTGACCGTGGCAGTGCCCCCCAACCCCAACCTCTGCCTTCCTTATTGCATCGCTCCGTGCAGCACTAGCATTAAGCAGCGAGTTACAGTAGCTAAAAGTCACTTCACCAGTGGCCCAGGGAGCAGCTGAGCTAACTCCTGACCACACTTGTGCCAGCAGTGCAGCCAGATTCTCTGCAGACCTGCAGGGCCGTAGGCGCACCTTTTTTTTTTTATTGCGATAACATTGAACTATAGACATTGGATAAGTTCCTAGTGTGCCTCTTTGAGAGTCAACATGTGTCTGAACTCCAATCCTAGCTCCCCACACTGTTGCCCCTTTTTCCCTGATTTATGCACCAGCCCCCAGCCCCTACCCATAACCACTAGTTGATGTTACAGTCCACAAGTTTTTATTACACTCATCTGGGTTTTTCCCTGTATGCCACATGTGACTATCACACGGTCTTTGTCTTTCTCTTCCTGATCCGTGGTACTGAGCACAGCCCCCTCCGGCTCCACCCGTATTGCTGCAAACAGCAGACGTTCATCTATTTCTATAGCTGCAAACTCCTGACTTACAGCTTCACTCTGTTTATGGAACACTGCCTGTCCTCGTGATCAACTTTGAAGTACAAGTCTTTTTTATATGTCCATAGACACTTATGTTTTGATCCGACACATGGAGTTTTTATATTTAACTTTTCTATTGTTTTATCAAAGACCTTCCCGTAGGAAACTGAATTTTCCTTTGAGGTTGCACTGATACCAACACAGGGAAGAAAAAGAATGTCTCAGCAGGATTACAAAAATAATGGATCAACTCTATCAACGTATCTCAGGGATCTAGAGTCACTTGAGGGATCTAGAGTCACTGGTATAAGGAAGAGTCAGTTTTATGTGAAGATTAGATGGGGGCTCTGCACCATTTTATACTGTGCCTGGCTTTTCCCCACAGCTGCTCCACCAATTGGCTTACAAACCTTCAGCAACTCTCCCTCGATCTCAAGATAAAACTCCTAACCCCTCCAAAGGCCATTAAGTTTCTTCATTTCTTGGATTATGTGGACTTTCTCAGGCTAAATGAATCACACCCCCTCCAACAGCAATGCTTCTTTCCTTAGAGGTCTTTCTTATTGTTCCTTTCTCCTGCAAAAGCTAAGGTCCCCTCCCATCACCCTCCCATCACTCAGACAGACCCTACAACTCTAAGTGCTGACACACTTAGAGCTAAGATCTCAACTTAGACGCATTCCTCTACATAAGATATAATTATGAATCTATTTGCCAGTGTCCTGATGGATATTTAGGCAAGATTCTCTGCTGGGAAATATTTTCCAGATGATTTTTTTTTTAATTTCTGAAGAACATTTTCTAGATCATTCCCTAGATGTGAGCACACATATACTAAAGTGACAGCAAAGTCCAGTTTTACCTTTCTGCAGAAAGGTAATAGAGAAAAGAAATGGGATTTCTATTTTATTACTAAGGTTTTTTTTTTCTATTACTAATAATTTTTCTTTCTCTAATTTTAGATGATGCCTTCAGCTATATGACTATCTTCCTGCAACGTCTAAAGTGGAGTCGAAAAGCTTAAATATTGTGCATTTTGTGATCATTACGCTGCCTGGCACTATTTCTGTCTTGGGGAATTGCCACCTTCCCACCACTGTGATTTATAGATCATGACTGTCAGATGACGCTGCTCTTCATGCAAAGGGTTTTCTCTTAGACAACTCGCCACTGCAGTGAAATTATAATCCGTTGCATGTTGAGTTTGATCTGTGCTAAATGATTTATATTAGTGTCTCAATTATTAAATTTATTGTTTAATTGTTTGTCTCCTTTTCTATCCTTTTTTATGTGGCATAGCCTGGTTCTACCACATTTAATTTTTTAATCCTTTTACTCTGCTTGGAAATGAAAATATTTTGTCCTATCTTATATGCATATCATATTTATATAACATTTAAATGACCTATTTACAATATTGTTTTAAAAGCAGGATATTATTGACTATATGTGGGTTTATACGTGTGTATACAGATATGGCTATGTATACAAAGATATACATAAATATAAAATATTTTATTTGGGGAATTATGGCTTCTTTTTCTGTTGCCTCCCACTTAATCACATGAGGCCAAGGTGAGCTTACCCAGGGGTGTTTGTGGAAGCTGTCGCCAGCTCCACTTGCCAAATATATAGACATAAAATTCAGCGTATACTTAATATTCTACTAAAAAGATTCCCAAAAGCCTTATTTATATGATAAGGCTTAGGAACAGAATTGCATCCTAAGGATTTGCCTGGTGACCACATATATCCCCCTGCGTGCTTCTCCCATCTGCAGTAGATGTGAAATGTGTATGAGATGGGTTCACCATGCACCACCAGTTGGCAATGGACTTAAAAAAAAAAATAGTCACCCTCATTTAATCCCTACTGTGTGCTGTCTGCTGCCTTCAGTGTGCTTCAGTGGGTGGGATGATATGAGTGTCATGTAGGCACAAAAAAGTGTCATGTAGGCCTTCCCGCATGTTCTGGGACTTGGCCAGTCACGTGGGTAGAAGAGGGAGCACCTGACTGTTCAGCCTTTGTCCAGAGGACCTTCCTCATCCCCTGTGCTACGCTGCCACTCTGGGCCCTGCCATCAAGACATTTGAAGGAGAACAGTGGGACACCTTTTTTTTATGAGCACTGCCCCAGAGATACTATAACCACTGAATTTAGGGAATCTGCTTTGATTCAGAAGATTTTGTAATTACTGCAAATGTCAATTTCTAGACTAAGATTTTGTCTTTTATATGGCTTGTAGACCTGTCTGATTTACATTTAATAATGAAATATACAAAATTTAGTCTTTCAACACTAAGGTTGCATAATGTCTATGATTTGAAATTGTCTGTTATAGTATAAACAGGATGGAAGTATGTTTATGATTAGTAATGTCAATAAATGACTTTATCATCCTCTCCATTATTAATGCTTTGGTGGTATATTTATATCACATTTGATATAAATTACATTTCATACCACTTGTATATATTATTTTTTTGAGAGCACTGGGCTTTGACACAGGAATTTTAAAACAGAACTTAGCAAAAGTATATTGATTATATTTAGTTTACATTCAGCTGAAATGTCTTCTTACAGAGACTCTTTCCCCCATCCAGAGAAGTTTTGAATTATTGTTAAAAAAAATAAAAAATGACTTTATGATTTACAGTATTATTTGATTTTTTTTTAAAGAACTTCAGCCCAAGATTGGCTTACTTAGTCAAAGTGTGACCAGTTGGCATGTCTTTCTTCAGCGTATGACACTAAAATATATGTCAACATTCATTTTCACTGTCCAGATATAAATCCTCTCCACCCCCATGGCAAAGAGTGACCTATTCTTGATGCCAACATCAGTGCAGTCCCTCTTAATCTCATCGCTCTCACACTCATGAAAAAATAATTAACTGTGAAAGGTTTTATTTTTCAAGCCACCATGTCCTATTCATTTCTTTTTGGAAATGTTCATAACTATTAATAATTAAGGTATTTGTATAATTGAAGCTGAGAATTCATTAAGCATCTTCTATAACACATTACCTAGATGCTATTTTACTTGTCATACTTTGATATTTTAAGGGCCCACTTTCTCAAAAAAGATATATCTCAGAGTCAGTCTTTCATGCTGAGACTTAGAAAAAAAAAAATCAAGATTGTTCTGATAGTTTCATAACAATGCACATTTTCTCTATGCACTGAGGACACATAGCAAGCGAAGATGTAAGATCCACACACCTTTATTATTTATAAGACGTGTCACTTTAAGGTGTTTACCTTAGTTCCCACCTTCTGTATTAAGGATATCATGTCTGCTGCATCAAATTATTTTTATCGTGAAATGCACAAAAATATTCAACATTTAGCATAATTGCTAGGACATTGTTGCATTTTAATTTGCTAGTGATAACTGTGAGGAGAGGACCACTGTTTTATTTCAGCCAGTAGCTGCTAAAATATTTGAAGTCTTTTATGTAGTCATGGTAGATAGCGGTTTTCATTTTCAAAATATGCTTATATAAATATATTTCAAAGTATTCACAGCCTCACACTGAATTTAATCCTATATTTATAAAATAGCATTTCTATTTTTATAGTCCACTACCTATAATTATTTGGCCAGACTATTGACTTATGTGCAGTTTTAATTTTTTTATTCTACAAATACATGACACTTAGCCAAGAGCGATGCAAGGCCTTGATACATACAAAAGAAATCAACAGAAGTGATCTAAGACAGCAAGAAGGTAAAATCGAATTTGCATGAGCATTCTGTCCTAGCTACTATGTGACCCATAATAGCTTTTCACAGCAGAAAACCTAAAAGTATAAAGCAAAATCATTTGAGTTTGCCAGGTGCATTCTTGCTGAATCAGCCTACTTGGTATGATGCCAATTTCTACTGTTTCTCACTAAGGAAAAATATCCCTGAATAAATGTTAGCAATGTTTAAAGGGAAATAACAGCCTTGAAATTGAAAAGCTGTGACTAAGAAATATTTTGCAACAAAAAATAAATAAGAAAAAAATAAATGTGAACTTGAAATAATTCTACTTTGAAATTATGGGATCATTTTTAACCCAAAGAGCTTATTAGGAATTAGTATTAGCTGACAATACAAAAATAAATAAAATATGTTCTTTGCAGAGAAGCATTCTGGATAAATAATGAAATTTCCGTGGGGATCCACATAATGAAGGGGATATCTGGTGGCTCCTTTGAGGACGATGAGGCAATTGCTAGATAGGCAAGGTCAGAGAAGACATGGCAATAAAAAAAAAAATATACCAATTTGCATTGAATCCTGGGGAGGACGAACTGAAAAGTCAGTTAGGCACGTTGACCATTTGGCAAGTTTCCTCATTTACAAAACTGGGTGACTGATGGTTGTCTGTGTCACTACTAAAAGCCAGTGTTGTAAAACTCATCTTGAATTTTATTTTTTTTAAGATTTATTTATGCATATAAAAGCTGGGGTACAGGCCAGAGATGCGGGGGGTGAGAGGATTCACCAGAGACAGAGCAGGGAACAGAACAGGCAGACTGACTGAAATACACTGCTGAGGGAGCAGCGGACCAGTCAGGAGAGGTCTGCCGCACCATGTGGGTAGCTCCCTGGCTGGGGATCGAACTCATGCTGCAGTGGCTGCAGATAGCTTCATAGGTTGAATCTTAACCCCTTGTGCCACCAGGGAGGCCCCCATCTTGAATTTTAGATGCTGTATCAGAAAAAAAATATTTCTCTTGTGCTAAATAATAACTAAGTAAACAGAGCAAAAACAGTCCAAAGTGGACTGGAGTATTAGTAGGAAGAGGGATGCTCTGTGTTGTCAATCATTTCCTAGATAAACTATTTTTGAGAAGTAAACATTTTAGATAAATCTGACCTGGGTTGAAGTCCTGACTCCTTGACTTGAGTGACTTGGAGAAATGACCTGCATGATTGTGTTTTCTCATGCTACAATTAACAGCCATGCATCTGTTCTATGCCTGTGTTGACAGTTTGTGCCCAACTCACACCTGCATAACAAATAATGAGGATGGCTGATCCAAGAGACTTGAGGACATGTTGTCTGGAATCACTAATTCAAAATTACTAGTGTCGTGCTGTATTCTAGACCTCATTTGCAGCATTCAAGAGTTTCTTTGATAGAAGAGAAGACATGCAGATGTGTGAGTTTCAGTCACAGTGCAGCCACTCTGTCACAAGGCAGAATTTGAAGAGAGAGGCTGTGTGTCAAATACATGGAATGAGTGTTACAGGAATTCGGGGACAGAATGACAGAATGATCTAGCGAAACTGTCTCATGGAGGGAGGCGAGTATCACTGTGCAGTTACTTGTTGGGGATAAATAAGGAGCTGGGGACCAGTGGCAAAGACATGAGGAAAGAAGACACAGTGACAAAGGGATGAGAGTTGTACATGGTGTGTGGGTAATGGAAGGTCAGGGAGTTGGATGGTTGGGAAATTCAAGGCAGATGGTGGAGGTCACAGGTTACTCTGCTTCTAAGTCTGGACTGGGCATATCTCCAGTGGCTTGTGGGAAGGGAAGGGGCACTTCCTCCAAAAATAGGGCAGGCTGGAGTGGCTTGTCCAGCTCTGATCAACCCTTGGCATACAACTTGTGTGATCATCATCAACTGCAGGGGTCGGTGTGTCTGGATCGCTTGTGTGTAGATGCCTTTCTCGTTATCACTAGAAGCTACTTTCCTGTTTATTGAAATCTAAAGCTGTTTACGTGTAAAAAATGCAGCCCCTGTTATCTCCATTAGGAAGAAAATAAAAATATTGTACCCATCGGAAATCAGATTTCAAAAGGAAAACAATAAATGATTTTGAAATCAAAGAACTCTAATGCTGAGAAAGTTGTCTAATCTTTATGAATAAAAAGGCTATATGATTCAACTTCAAGGATGTTTAAGTAATTTCTTCATGTATGTTACCCCACCAAAGACTAGCGTTCTCATATATGTTTTTCATGGTTTGCTGCATGGATGGTGAAAAAGCGCACCTGAGTAGACTTCAGGTACTTTTTTTTTTTCAAATGATGGAGAGTGGAAATACTATTGCTGGGTTTGTCTCAAAGGGATGGCTCAGCAGTCCATGTACCCATTGGGTGGTAAGATATGAGACAGAGAGACTCGAGGTGTAGGAGAACAAAACCCCAACATCTTATTCATCAGAACAGTTCACCCAAGCAAGCATGACGCCCAGCTCTAGAAAGACCCATCACTGGGGAAAATGCGCAAGTGGAAGAGAAACCATCATCTGAGACTTTGCCCTGATGGCGCAGAGACTGTGGTGAGTGTCACATTTGCCCATCAGGCTGATCAGGTGCCGTTCCTTCTGTTGTAGAAAGTAAAGTACAAAAAGGGAGAACCATGATGAGGAGGGCTCGGAAGAACATCTCCCCTCATAGTGTTAGACATGTGTTCCTAACAGAGGAAGCTGACACTTAAGAATTACAGGACTGTCTGAATTCAGGAGTTCAGGAAATCGCCTACCACGTGGCAGCCCTCCAAACTGTTTTTAAAAATTTCATTTTGTAGATCTACGAGCCTGGGCTCTTCCCATCAATCCTGGTGTCACTGCATTGGGAATGCCCCCCACTGACCCCACATCCAGATACAAATGGTGTCTTTGAACACAAAATTCTCTGGGGTCAGGACTTCAAGATTTAGTATCAGGCTTATAAAGTAATGAACAGTATTTTCACTGGTCAATGTTCTAATGAACATGGATTTTGCTAGACATGCTTAGAAAACACACACACACACAAACATACACACATGTCACAGGTTATCATCTGCTGTGGGCTGGACAGACTCACAGGGAGGACAGACATGCGCCCTCCACATTAGCCGCTTGGGCTGGGTCAGTTACCTCATACCTCAGAGCCCTCCCACCGAAAAAAAATATATTAAGTTCTTTCATTTTAAACAATGAAATTTGGAATTCTAAAAATGATATATACCGATTGATAAAAGTGTCACCTTTTTGTTCAAAGTGTTCAGGCATAATTTTCCCACTTGCTTCAAGCGTGGTGTCCTAATTGATAGCCTTTTTGAAGTTAAATAGGCATCAAAGAGAGACTCAAAGAGTCTGTTATCACCAGGCAATTACATTCGGTTAATAACCTGGCTGTATTTTCTGTTCACATAGGACAGTTTTGTAAAAGCTCTAGCATTAATGGATTTTATTCGCAGTGACAAAAGAAATATTAAAATTGCAATACTATTTCCTTTATCTTCTCTCATCTAAATGGCGAATGCATCTGAATCATGGTGTTAACTCACCCAGAAAAGAGGAAGTTAAAATACTATTATTTCTGCACAATGACCTTTTCTGCCGTGGTATTTGCTAGCTCAGAATCATAATCTAGCCATAGACGTGTTGTTCAAAATACACGGAGCTCAAAATAAGCAGAAAGTTCCATTTTGGAACATATACTATCTCTCCTATTCCTTATTATTATCTCCCAATATTTGAATCCGGAGGTGGTCAGTGCTGTCCTGTAGCTTGTCATGATTTCCCAAATATGCCGTGTGTATTCTCCCAACTGGAGTAAAGAATAACAAAAGGAGAGCTGATACAGCTCACAATAAGGCAGAAAGAAATATAGGACAGCAAATGTTTGTCTATAATTACATTCTTTAAAAGCCTTTTTCAACTGACAGTTTTTAATAGCTAATCATTTAATAGCTAGAGGTTAAAATGAACTGAAGGCACAACAGAAAATAAATAGGATTCTAATTCATCAGCATCTCTAGAGTGACATGTATATTCTAAAAAATACATAATATATTCAGCACATTTTCCTGAATTAACAGTTAAATAGTAAACAAACTAAATCAAAGCAGGGCTTTGATATCCTGCTCAATATTTAAAAGTTAACCTGGGATTTTGCAGTTTGGATACAAGTCCCAGAGTCAGCTCAAAAAAAAATTTATTGGACATTTACTCAGTAGAAGCATCTGGATCATAAGTGATCATTTTCATTCATTCATGCTTGTGTAATTATTGTGAGATTATAAGCCAAGCATTTCTAGACACTAGGGAATAAACAGTGAAAAAAAAAAAAGTGACACATTTTCATGCTGTTGGAGCTCATGTTCCAGAGGAGGAAGGAGGTAGATGGAAAACCTCCACTCAGGTAAACGTGATGGCATCGCTTGGAGGTTACAGACCTGAAGTTGTATATTTTGGTTTGATCTCAAATTTAGATGGTCTTTTTCTTCTCTTGTAATAGTATTAAGTGTTACCAAAGTTTGTATTTACAAACACCCTTTCTATCCATTCAAATTTTTGAATGAATTGGGTTTTTGTTTGGGTTCCAAAATAGATTCCTCTTTATTTTCTCAGGACCTTCAGTTCATTTTCACCTCTAAGTTTGAATGAATGGAAAGGAAGTCTGTAAATATATACTTTGCTAACACCTAAAACTATTACCAGAGATGAAAAATCATCTTTTTGATTGGCTGGGTTTGAAAATTGAAGTTTGAATTTTTCACCTTGGGACCTGGTATAAACTTTCTATTCCTCCTACCTGCAACGGAACCACTTCCAGCAATGTGACTGAATTTCAAGGAAATCATCTTAAAGTGATTTGACCATACCATGTTCGTTTTGATAATTTCATAGACATTTTGTGAAAAATAACTTCAACTCAATAACTGTGTGATTAGATTGTAAGGCTCATTAAACAAAAACAAAAACAAAAACAAATGGTGTTTCACCTCAGTTACTAGAAATAAAATGTGAAAGTGAAATTTTATAAATCTATTTATGCCCTTAAATCAGAAAATTCTAAAGTTATCACAAAGAGATAAATTCTAATAATGATAAATCTGTTCTAATCAGTGTAAACGTTTTCAGATAGGACCAGATAGCAAATGTAAGAAAATCAAGAAATAAGATGATCAATTACCAGGGCCCAAACTCCAGAATAACTGAATTAGCAACTCTGAAGGTGGGGCTGAGCAATCTGCTTTTCCAGAAGATCTCCAGAGGTCAGAAGCCCTTCAGGTCTAAGGAGCACCATTTTACAAGGAGGACAACGATAAAGCAGGGAGATCTTAGCACTACAGTGGACACGGATCAGGTTCTTTAGTTTTTCTAGAAGTCGTCAAGGGAAATGAGGTAAGCAGAGAACAACGAGAGAGGGGAAAATAACAACAAAAGTAATGAGAAATGGAGAGGAAAAATAAATGATAAGGATTCTGTATCTGGGGACCTCAAAGCTGGGGCAAGGGAGTGAGGAGTTGGGGAGCATTACCTGCCATTTTGCAGGTCCACAGCCATCACCTTATTGTTGGCCAGGACCAAGTACCAGCACTAGGAGCACACCTTTTCCTCACTGAACTTTCTCTCAAGCCTAGTTTCATACAAACTACTAAAGGGGAGGGCCTCCCTGGTGGTGCAAGGGTTAAGATACAACCTATGAAGCTGTCTGCAGCCACTGCAGCGTGAGTTCTATTCCCAGCCGGCCAGGGAGTGACCCACATGGTGCGGCAGACCTCTCCTGGCTCACCCGCTGCTCCCCTCAGCAGTGTATTTCAGCCAATCTGCCTTTACTGTTCCCCACTCTGTCTCTAGTGAATCCTCTCACCCCCCCCCACACTTCTGGCCTGTACCCCAGCTCTTGTATGCATAAATAAATATTAAAAAAAATAAAGTGGAACTCACTCCTAAAATCATTACCATGTTGGAGGACACAAGAAGCAGAGCAAGATGTCTGTGGGAAATGGACGAATATATCATGACTTTATATCAGAAATGTCAAGTTGTGCTGCCCATGAATATTCCCAGAAATGCCACAGAGAGTACAGAGCCCAAGAGCAGAGAGCAGGGTGTTGGGGGATGAGATACAGCCCATTCCACGAAGAATGTGCCTTCTGCAGTCACATACAGACGTCGCCCCAGAGTGGACGAGCACTGTCAGGCTCTATTTTTTTAAATACTACTACACTATAAAGTTATTGGTTTTGTCACTTGAGACAGAACACAGGCTGAAGCTGCTCAGCCTAAATTGGCAATCACTATAGTTCTCTGATCCCAAGGTAATTTTTAAATAAGAGACCAGACGTGTCAATTGGCAATCACTGTAGTTTTCTGAACTCAAAATAATTTTTTTTAATGAAAATGAGACCTGAGGTTTCAAAAGCCATTTCCAAATGTGCAGCAGCAAACCTGAAATACACCAGGAAAACCCAGCGACTTCCTTCCACAATAGAACCTCTCTGCATTCTGACCTGGGAACTCTGCTTAGCACACGGTAGCCATGCTCACGGTGTCAGCAACTACCCTAGAGTTGCTTTGTTTATTGGTCTGATTCCTACAATCTAGCAAAAATTACATTTACTTGCTTTTTTAGAAAAAAAATAACATACTGCTTTATCTTTTTGTTTAGATAATACCTATCAAAAACAGTTCAAAGTACTCCTATAAGTTCTTTTGGGTACAGAACAGATTTTGTATGCTTTTAGGGACTCTATGGGTGAGAATGGCCTGGAAAGGCCTAAGTGCTCAGAATCTTTTACTTAACACAGAAGCACTTTGCCTTGGTTACACTGGGATAATTGCCTCATTTATTGTCTTTTCTTTTTCTTTCTATGCATCTGATTAGAACATCGGCTAGTGACATGCGGCAGTTTCTCTCTCGGTACTGCATTTGCAGGGGTGCGGCAGCATATCCATCACCCAGGGGAGGCAGAAAATACCTACTTGTCCAGGATAAATGTCTCTCCCATCAAGAAGTGATACCCAGTGTCAGTGGGGACATGACAGGGGATGCTGGTCCTGAGCTTGCAACTTAGCTGTGCAACAGTCTGCCCAGGATTGTTCTCTAGAATAGTGACTGTAAAACAACAACCACAGGGCTTCAGAGG